CAATCACATTTCAAATATGGTCAATATAAATATAATTATAAAAGAATTAACCCTAGCAGGTTGGTTGTTTTGTCAATATTTTACCCAAAATTGGTTTGAAATAACCCTGTATTTTGTATGTGTTTTTAAGCTTTTTTAATTTTTGGTGAGCTATTACTTTAAATGGTAAGCTAAAATAGTTGGGATATTTAAACCCAATTTGGGGTCAAATTTGAACAAAGCCAACTGCTGGGTTATTTTAATTTTCTTACATTCATATGGAGCAAATGTAACCCAGCATTTGGGGTTGTCTATAGTTTAATTTGGCCCAGCATTTTAGTGTAACATAAATAAAATTTAACCCAACATTTGGGGTTGCTCATATTTCAACTAAAAATAAAATATGGACAACCCCAAATGTTGGGTTAAATTTGCTCCTAAAAAAATTTATTTCAAAGTCAACCCATCAGTTGATTTTGTCCAAATTCGACCCCAAATTGGGCTGAAATATCCCAGTGGAATATTTAGTCGCTGGGTTGTTTCCACCAAAATGTAAATATGGAAAAACCCAAATGTTGGGTTAAATTTGGTTCATTCACTTTCTTGTCAGCTTAGTCCCTTTATTTTCTGGTGTCGCCACAGCAGAATGAACCGCCAACTTATCCAGCGCATTTTTTACGCAGTGGATGCCCTTCCAGCGGCAACCCATCTCTGGTAAACATCCACAAACACTCATCTACGGACTATTTAGCCCACCAAATTCACCTGTACTGCATGTGTTGGACTGTGGGGAAAACCGGAGCACCCAGAGGAAACCCACGCGAACGCAGGGAGAACATGCAAACTCCACACAGAAACGCCAACTGAGCCGAGGATCGAACCAGCGACCCAGCGACCTTCTTGCTGTTAGGCAACAGCACTACCTACTGCGCCACTGCTTCACCCCAAAATTTGGTTCTATACATTAAATTAAAAAAATGAACCCATCAGTTGATTTGTTCTTATATTTTACCCCAAATTAGGTTGAAATACCCCAGTAGAATATATAGTCACTCTTCTTCTAGTCTTCTTTGATTTTTGGTGAGCTTTTCCTTTAAATGCTAGGCTAAAATATATTTTTAATCTAATTTAAAATATGGCCAAACCCAAAATCTTGGGTTAAATTTCCAATCTGTATGCATTTAATGTCATTGTTTTGCCATCCCATAATATTATTCACATATAAATATTTTCACTGCGCAAAATGAGCTTGTGTTATCAACAGACCGAAACATAAGCTGCTATTTAGCTTGATTTTCAGACCCCAGCCACCCCATTCACTTCCACTGCATAGAAAAGAGCAGCGTAAACATTCGGCGAAACGTCTTCCTTTGTGCTCAATGAAAGAAAGTCACAGTGGCGGTGTGGTGAATAGATGGTGTGGTGCTGAATTAAAAGCCTGATGTTTTAGAGAGATATATTCATTTAAAGGCACAGTTCACCCACAGATATGAAGATATTCATTATTTACTCTCCCTCGTGTGGTTATATGAATCTTTCAAATGAATATATGTTTAAGGAAACTGAAAACCTGTAAGCTAGCTCTTTAAATGTGACACTAAATACTGAGCTATTTCAACCCAAATTAAAATACGGACAACCCCAAATGTTGGGTTAAATTTGGTTCTATCAATTTAATTAATAAAATATCAACCCAGCAGTTATTTTTGTCCATATTTTACTCAAAGGTGGGTTTAAATAACCCAGTAGAATATTTAGTCGATTTAAAGCTAATATTTTTAATTTTTTTAACTAAAATACTGGGTAATTTTTAACCCCAATTGCTGGGTTACATTTACTCCTATAAATGTAATAAAATAAAATTAACCCATCAGTTGGTTTTGTCCATTTTTACCAAAAATGAGTTAAATTAACCCACTATTGTTAGGAATGTGTCTTCAGTCATTTAAAGGTGTTGTACATGGTTTTGTCAGCTATTACTTTAAATGCTAAGATAAAATACTGGGTTATTTCATCCCAAATCAAAATATACCCAACCCCAAAATTTGGAATAAATTTGTAACTATAAATTATAGTTAGAAATTAACCCAGCATGTTGGTGGTTTTGTCAATGTTTTACTTAAAATTGAGTTGAAATAACCAAGTATGTTTTCAGAGAGTGTCCTTCACACTAGGCTAAAATACTGGGTTATTTCAACCAAATTTCAAATATGGTCAATGGTTAGGTTAAATTTGTTCCTATAAATATAAATAAAGATATTAACCCAGCAGGTTGGTTGTTCTGTCAATATTTTACCCTACATTGGGTTGAAATAACCCAGTATTTTGTATGTGTTTTAAAGCTTTTTCATTTCTGGTGAGCTTTTACTCAAACCGCTAGGCTACAATTGTTGGGTTATTTCAACCAAAGTTAAATTGTGAAAACCCCCATATGTTGGGTTAAATTTGCTCAGATAAATTTAACTTAGAAATTAACCCAGCATGTTGGTTGTTTTGTCAATATTGTACCCAAAATTGAGTAATAGTTTAGACTGTCTTTCAGCTAATTGTTCAGTTTTGTGAGCTACTCCTTTAAATGCTAGGCTAAACAAATGATTTAAAATATGGACAACCCCTAATGTTGGGTTAAATTTGGTTCTGTCAATTTAATTGATAAAATATCAACCCAGCAGTTATTTTTGTCCATATTTTACTCAAAGGTGGGTTTAAATAACCCCAGTAGAATATTTAGTCAATTTAAGCTAATATTTTTGATGTGATATAACTGTACATGTTATACTAAAATACTGGGTTATTTCAACCCCAAATGCTGGGTTACATTTGCTCCTATAAATGTAATAAAATAAAATTAACCCATCAGTTGGTTTTGCCTATTTTTACCAAAAATGGGTTAAATTAACCCACTATTGTTAGGAATGTGTCTTCAGTCATTTAAAGATGTTGTACATGGTTTTGTTAGCTATTACTTTAAATGCTGAGCTAAAATACTGGGTTATTTCACCCCAAATTAAATAACCCCAAAATTTGGAACTCTAAATTATAGTTAGAAATTAACCCAGCATGTTGGTGGTTTTGTCAATGTTTTACTTAAAATTGAGTTGAAATAACCAAGTATGTTTTCAGAGAGTGTCCTTCACACTAGGCTAAAATACTGGGTTATTTCAACCAAATTTCAAATATGGTCAATGGTTAGGTTAAATTTGTTCCTATAAATATAAATAAAGATATTAACCCAGCAGGTTGGTTGATCCGTCAATATTTTACCCAACATTGGGTTGATATAACCCAGTATTTTGTATGTGTTTTTAAAGCTTTTTCATTTCTGGTGAGCTTTTACTCAAACCGCTAGGCTACAATTGTTGGGTTATTTCAACCAAAGTTAAATTGTGAAAACCCCCATATGTTGGGTTAAATTTGCTCAGATAAATTTAACTTAGAAATTAACCCAGCATGTTGGTTGTTTTGTCAATATTGTACCCAAAATTGAGTAATAGTTTAGACTGTCTTTCAGCTAATTGTTCAGTTTTGTGAGCTACTCCTTTAAATGCTAGGCTAAACAAATGATTTAAAATACGGACAACCCCTAATGTTGGGTTAAATTTGGTTCTGTCAATTTAATTGATAAAATATCAACCCAGCAGTTATTTTTGTCCATATTTTACTCAAAGGTGGGTTTAAATAACCCAGTAGAATATTTAGTCGATTTAAAGCTAATATTTTTGATGTGATATAGCTGTACATGTTACACTAAAATACTGGGTTATTTCAACCCCAAATGCTGGGTTACATTTGCTCCTATAAATGTAATGAAATAAAATTAACCCATCAGTTGGTTTTGCCAATTTTTACCAAAAATGGGTTAAATTAACCCACTATTGTTAGGAATGTGTCTTCAGTCATTTAAAGGTGTTGTACATGGTTTTGTCAGCTATTACTTTAAATGCTAAGCTAAAATACTGGGTTATTTCATCCCAAATCAAAATATACCCAACCCCCAAATTTGGAATAAATTTGTAACTATAAATTAAAGTTAGAAATTAACCCAGCATGTTGGTGGTTTTGTCATTATTTTACTTAAAATTGAGTTGAAATAACCAAGTATGTTTTCAGAGAGTGTCCTTCACACTAGGCTAAAATGCTGGGTTATTTCAACCAAATTTCAAATATGGTCAATGGTTAGGTTAAATTTGTTCCTATAAATATAAATAAAGATATTAACCCAGCAGGTTGGTTGTTTTGTCAATAATTTACCCAACATTGCGTTGAAATAACCCAGTATTTTTTTATGTGTTTTTAAAGCTCTTTCATTTCTGGTGAGCTTTTACTTTAAACGCTAGGTTAAAATAATTGGGCTATTTCAACCAAAGTTAAATTGTGAAAACCCCCAAATGTTGGGTTAAATTTGCTCAGATAAATTTAACTTAGAAATTAACCCAGCATGTTGGTTGTTTTGTCAATATTGTACCCAAAATTGAGTAATAGTTTAGACTGTCTTTCAGCTAATTGTTCAGTTTTGTGAGCTACTCCTTTAAATGCTAGGCTAAACAAATGATTTAAAATATGGACAACCCCTAATGTTGGGTAGAATTTGGTAATATAATATAACTATCAAAGAATTAACCCAGCAGGTTGACTGTTTTGTTAATATTTGAATCAAAACGGAGTTGAAACATGCAGGTATGCTTTTAGAGAGTGTCTTTCACACTAATGTTTCAGTTATTTGGTGAGCTACTCCCTTAAATGCTAAGCTAAAATACCGAGTTATTTATACCAAATTTGAAATATTACCAAAACCAAATATTGGGTTAAATTTGGTTCTATAAATATAATATAATTAACCCAGCAGGCTGGTTGTTTTGTCAATATTTTACCCAAAATTAAGTAAAAAAAAAAAAAAAAAAACCAAGTATGTTTTTCAGATAATTGTTGTGTTTTTGGTGAGCTACTCCTTTAAATGCTAGGCTAAATCTCCATCCGCCGGAGGGAATCCTTTTCCAAGGGCATCCACGCGAGCATCTTACCTTGGTGACCACATTCTGCTGCAGTCCCGACTGCAGATCAAACCGCCACTCCGAGCACAAACACGCCGTTACGAAGCTGTTGTCGGTTCCGTTCGCGAACGCCTCCACGAACAAATCCCGATCCGTCCCGTTCCCCGTGCTGCCCTGATCCGGCCGGACGCACTTCCTGTCCGGTTGGCCGAGTAGAAAGTGATCCGAAAACTGGCTGAATGAAATGAGGAACGCCGGGATCCACGTTAGAGCCACCAGCCGCCGCTGGTACCTCCCGAACCCGCCGAGGAACGGCAGAACCACCGTGTCCACCTGCGAGAGCCGCTTGTGCGGTTCGGACTGCGACACATTGCCGTTTTCCGCCGGTGGGTTCAACCCGTCCAGCCGAACCGCATCCATAACACGTCGCTTTTATAACGCGCAGGGTCTTTGTCTGAAAAACACACTCACACACACAGACACACACTGAGAGAAGGTCCAGTCGGTAACCGAACGGAAGCCAGTCTGAATCCGAGCTACGATAATCCAGCGGGCGCGTTGATGCGCACGGGGCCCCATAAGGTAACCGCCGGTCACAACGCCATCGCCGGGCTGTCAGTCGCCCAGAGCCGCGCGTCGGTGCCCGGTGGTCTCCAACAGGTCCGCAGGTAACGCAGCTGGCGCACAGGTGTGGCCCGTGTATCCATCCTTCAATCCCACTGTGCTCACATCAGGGATGCTGCTGGGCCGTTCCCACCCAGCGCTCGCACACTAGCTCGTAAATAACCCCTGGGTAGTAAAGGTTTGGTCAGTGGAGCGCGCGGTCGACGCAGAGCTGCAGCCCCTGTGTCCGTTCGTCCGCCCGTTTGCACCGGCGACCGAGCATCACACGGCATCCAAATTGCAAGACCCGCCCAGTTTGCGAGGATCGAACGCTCCTATTGGCTGGCGCGGCCTGATCTGTCCTCCGCTGCGCCTGATTGGACGAGCACAACAAAGAGCCTTTGTGTGCATCTGCCCCCCATGAGCTCAGGCGAAAACACTTCAACACCACAACACGGTTAACTTAATTTATGCGCAGTTTATTCGCTGTTTACTGTGAGTTTTGCGAGTCTATACATCTATATCTCCCAAATACATTTAATGAATAAATAAACACAAATAGATTGATTTGAGGTTAAATGTTTTTTTTTATTATGTGAGAACAATAAGAGGGCACAGCCATATGGAACATTCAGTAATTTTATTATTTTATAAAAAATTTTAATTTTTAAGTTTTATGTCAGAAAACAAGAGAGTATAAAGCAATAAAGTGTTTAAATTGTCAATATAAGAAGACTTACAATAAGGCAATAAGACAAATTCATAATTTTGACAATGTAAAAGTATATAATAGGATGTGTTTAATTATATATACATGTAATATTGTTTTACATTTTTATATTTAATTTTATTTATTTGTTATTTTATACTATATGATAATATTTAAATACAATATATAGTATACTAATATGATTTTTAAAAATCCAATACAGGGTCTTCCACATAAATAAATGGACATGAAATATTGATTTAAGCTTTGTTGTTTTATTATGTGAGAACCGTTACAGATTATATTATATTATATTATTTCATTTTTTTCAGCCTAGTCCCTTTTATATTATATTATATTATATTTTATTATATTATATTATGTTATTTTGTAATATATTATATTATTTCATTTTATATTATATTATTGTATATTATATTTTATTATATTATGTTATTTTGTAATATATTATTTTATTTTGTATTATATTATGTTATGTTATTTTTTATTATATTATATTATATTGTTATTTTATATTATTTCATTTTCTTTTCAGCGTAGTCCCATTTATATTATATTATATTATATTTTATTATATTATATTATGTTATTTTGTAATATATTATATTATTTCATTTTCTATTATATTATTGTATATTATATTTTATTATATTATGTTATTTTTAAATATATTATTTTATTTTATATTATATTATGTTATGTTATTTTTTATTATATTATATTATATTATATAATTTTATATCATATTATATTATATTATTTCATTTTCTTTTCAGCTTAGTCCCTTTTATATTTATTATATTATATTATATTATATTATATTATATTATATTATATTATATTATATTATATTTTGTTTTATATATAATACATTATCTTGTCAAATGAAAAACTGAATGAGCTGATCACTGATTTGAAAATTGTGAAAAGAAATGCAATAGATTATAATATGCAGTTATACATAATAAAAGCTGTAATTTATATCAAATTTTTAATTTAATATTAATTTATTTGAGTTTGTTATGGATACCTGTAATGCAAGTTGAATATTCAAAAATGGGCATCAAATATAACAGATCAGCTTTTAAAACATTGTTAAATTTAATTTTAGTTTACATTGTTTAAGCGGTGTTAATAGTGTTCCCATCAGTTTGAGGATGTTTTCTCCTCCTTCAGTGTCATTGAAATAACTTGTGATGTTTTCATTCATTCAGGCTCTGCGCTGTGAAGAGCAGCCATATGGCCTGGCACGACTGGACTCGGCTCTTTAGAACACAGACATCAGCCAAGAGCCAATCACAAAGCTTTTTCTGGAAGAGTCTGCTGTCCTTGGCTCACTCTGCTGGATTATCCAAACAAAGACAAGTACATCACCGCACTCCAGGACACTATACATCACTGTTTAACTGTACATCACAGTATATTACTGTATATCATCACAGTACATCATCACTGTATATAAGCAGACATCACTGTATATAACCATACATCACTCAGTCTATAACCAAACATTACTGTATATAATTGTACATTACTATATATAACCATACATCACTGGATATAACTGTACATTACTATATATAACCATACATCACTGGATATAACTGTACATTACTATATATAACCATACATCATACCCGCACAACACAGTATATAACCGTACATCACTGTATATAACCAAACATCACTGTATATAACCATACATCAAAACCATACATCACTGCACTCCAGGACACTGTATATCACTCTATAACTGTACATCACAGTATATTACTGTAGATCATCACAGTACATCATCACTGTATATAACCAAACATCACTGTATATAATTGTACATTACTATAAATAACCATACATCATATCCGCACAACACAGTATAAAACCGTACATCACTGTATATAACCAAACATCACTGTATATAATCGTACATCACTGTATATAACCATACATCATAACCATACATTACTGCACTCCAGGACACTATACATCACTGTTTAACTGTAAATCACAGTATATTACTGTATATCATCACTGTACATAATCACTGTATATAAGCAGACATCACCGTATATAACTGTACTTCACTGTATATAACCAAACATCACTGGATATAACTGTACATTACTATATATAACCATACATCATACCCGCACAACACAGTATATAACCGTACATCACTGTATATAACCAAACATCACTATATATAACCAAACATCACTGTATATAACCAAACATCACTATATATAACCAAACATCACTGTATATAATTGTACATTACTATTTTTACCTATACATCATAACCAAACATCACTAAATATAACCGTGCATCACTGTATATAACCAAACATCACTGTAGGCTATATAATAGTACATCACTGTATATAACCAAACATCACTGTTCATAATTGTACATTACTATATATAACCATTCATCATATCCGCACAACACAGTATATAACCGTACATCACTGTATATAACCAAACATCACTGTATATAATCGTACATCACTGTATATAACCATACATCATAACCATACATCACTGCACTCCAGGACACTGTATATCACTGTTTAACTGTAAATCACAGTATATTACTGTATATCATCACTGTACATAATCACTGTATATAACCAAACATCACTGTATATAACTGTACTTCACTGTATATAACCAAACATCACTGGATATAACTGTACATTACTATATATAACCATACATCATACCCGCACAACACAGTGTATAACCATACATCACTATATATAACCAAACATCACTGTATATAATTGTACATTACTATTTATACCTATACATCATAACCAAACATCACTAAATATAACCGTGCATCACTGTATATAACCAAACATCACTGCATATAACCATACATCACTGTGTATAGCGATACATCACTGCATACAACCATACATCATGACTGCACATCACTGTATATAACCATACATCACTGCATATAACCAAACATCACTGTATATAGCGATAAATCACTGCATACAACCATACATCATAACTGCACATCACTGCATATAACCATACATCACTGTATATAACCAAACATCACTGCATATAACCATACATCACTGTATATAGCGATACATCACTGCATACAACCATACATCATAACTGCACATCACTGTATATAACCAAACATCACTGTATATAACCAAACATCACTGCATATAACCATACATCACTGTATATAGCGATACATCGCTGTATATAACCATACATCACTGCATATAACCATACATCACTGTATATAGCGATACATCACTGCATACAACCGTACATCATAACTGCACATCACTGCATATAACCATACATCACTGTATATAGCGATACATCACTGCATACAACCATACATCATAACTGCACATCACTGTATATAACCAAACATCACTGTATATAACCAAACATCACTGCATATAACCAAACATCACTGTATATAACCAAACATCACTGTATATAACCAAACATCACTGCATACAACCATACATCATAACTTCACATCACTGTATATAACTATACATCATAACCGTACATCACTGTATATAACTGTACATCACTGTATATAACTGTACATCACTGTATATAACCAAACATCACTTCATATATCTATACATCATAACTGCATATAAGCAGACATCACCAAATATAACTGTACTTCACTGTATAACCAAACATCACTGTATATAATTGTACATTAATATATATAACCATACATCATACCCGCACAACACAGTATATAGCTGTACAACACTGTATATAACCAAACATCACTGTATATAACCATACATCATAACCATACATCACTGCATATAATCGTACATCACTGTATATAACTGTACATCACTGTATATAACCATACATCACTGTATATAACCAAACATCACTGCATATAACCATACATCACTGTATATAACTGTAAATCACTGTATATAACCGTACATTACTGTATATAACCATACATCACTGTATATAACCAAACATCACTGCATATAACCAAACATCACTGTATATAACTGTAAATCACTATATATATAACCATACATCACTGTATATAACCAAACATCACTGCATATAACCAAACATCACTGTATATAACTGTAAATCACTGTATATAACTGTACATTACTGTATATAACCATACATCACTGTATATAACCAAACATCACTGCATATAACCATACATCACTGTATATAACTGTAAATCACTATATATATAACCATACATCACTGTATATAACCAAACATCACTGCATATAACCAAACATCACTGTATATAACTGTAAATCACTGTATATAACTGTAAATCACTGTATATAACCGTACATCACTGTATATAACCAAACATCACTGCATATAACCATACATCACTGTATAAAACTGTAAATCACTGTATATAACCGTACATCACTGTATTCAATTCAATTCAATTCAGATTTATTTGTATAGCGCTTTTACAATGTAGATTGTGTCAAAGCAGCTTCACATAAATGGTCACAGTAAGTGGAACAGTGTGGTTCAGGTTTTAGTGTTTAAGTTCAGTTCAGTTCAGTTTAGCTCAGTTCAGTGGGATTTAATCATTACTGAGAGTTCAAACACTGAAGAGCCAATTCATCGATGCGTAGCTCTACCAATCCTGAACCATGCGAGGCAGTGGCGACAGCGGAGAGGGAAAAAAACTTC